GCATTGCTGTAACAAAATGCCCGAACCCTCACGTCTTACAGTTCTGTTGGCTGCCAAGTCCAAGATCAAGCCTGGCAGGCTGGTGTCTTGTAGAGCCACTGTGAGCTTCCACGATGGTGCCTGCTGTGCCCCCTGGTGGTGGAACATGGTGTCCTTCTCCTGGTGGAAGGTGAGTGGCCTCTATGGTTGACCAATAAGTGAAGTCTGCTTGGTTAAGGCCTCTAGCTTATGTAGGAATAGACACTGAGCCTGTGGCTCTAGTGAGCCCTGTGGGTGGCACTCAGAGCCCTAGAAGCTGCCTGAGGCTTCTGCCGGCTCTGTCTTTGCTAGCCACCCAGGGCCTCAGAAGGTCTGAGTCCACTTGGTTCCTCCATTTCTGAGCATTCAGCCTTCCTCAGCTGACTCTGTAGGGCCAGCAGAGGAGCCTGGGATGGGTACACTTGCCTGTGTTGTTCCTCTCCCGTGTGGGATATGGACAGCTTCCCTAGCCCTTACTGGGCCTGAAACTCATGAAATGGAGGTGTGTGTGGCATCCCGGTTGACAGGGCACTATGCTGGGAAGGTGCTGGAACCTGCGTCTCTCCAACAGAGAACAGGCCTAGATAACTCCCTTAGCTGTTCTCTGGGGGCCGCTGATGCCAGACCAAATTCCTGCAGAGAGTAGAGCACCTCAGCCATCTGAGTCCCTAGAAGGGGTGGGGATGCTGACAAGATGTGTGACCATCCTCTACCGTTCCAGCAAGGGGAGGCCTCGAACTCTCGGGTGGCCAGCGTCCTGCTTCGCCAGCCCAGGAAGTCCTCCCTGGGTACGTGGATCTTGTCGCATCCCCTGACAGGAAGGAGGAAGAGAAGGAAAAGATGCAGGGAGGGAAAGATGCTCAGGGCTTCCGGCCTCCTTGAAAGCTGAGAGAGAAGGATGACAGGGCTTCCGGCCTCCTTGAATGGGACCCTTGCCCGGTTATTCTGCCTGATGAAGTCAGCAACAGCTAGAAAGGGTTTTAGTGAAAGGTGGCTGCACCCAGGGGCCTGTCTGTGTGCATGTGCTCTTGTACATGTATGTAGACATGTGTATGCATGTGCACGTGTGAGTGCTGGCACTCCAGGCCAGGTGTGGCTGTGTCCCACCACAGTGTTCAAGGGTCATGGATTTATTCCTCCAGTCTACAGCGAGGTCATGGCACATTGCCTCCAGCCCAGGCCCACAGCCTGCACGAGCTCCCTCAACAGGTGCCTTTTTACAAAGTGGATGTTTTGGGGGAGAACTTGGGTAAAGCTGGAAAAGCAGACCCGAATAACTACACGCAGGCTCCAGCTTCCTTGCAGGTCAGCCAGTACTGGGGTGGGAAGGGCAGGGTAGTGGGCAGCCGTAGGCCCAGCCTGGTTCACACTGGTTATGGGAATTCTAAATTTAGGGCCTAGGATGTAGCTCAGTGGCAGAGTATGTAAGAGGCCCTGGGTTCAATCCCTGGTACTGCAAAAACAAACAAACAACAACCAAACCCCACAAAAACCCAAAACCAAGGAAAACAAAGTTCTCAGCTTTAACCTGAGTTTCTATAGTGTCACAAGGTGATTTGCTTAAGCACAGAAGGGAACATACTCTAACTGTTTGTTTGATCTATAAACCTCTAAAAATATAAAATGCGCACAGGACATGTGGGCCTCAGACATGTGCGGCGTGGGCCTAGTTTTACTCATGACTGTTTTCCCAGAACATAGAATAGTACCCAGAGTGTAAAACACCAGATGCCCAAGGAGGATCTGCTGTGTGGCAAGATCCCTCAGTCCACTCGCCCGTGGCCTTGAACTCTGCCAGATCCTGGAATGCATAAAAGGACACAAGCAAGGTTTAGGCCGACTACTTAAAAGGGGCTTTATTCACTCCTTTGGAGCAGTGTGCCAACGCCTGACTCTGCTCCAGGACACGACAACTCCGCAAAGCCGCTATTCCCTTTGGGACCAAGACTGCCTGGCACTAAAAACACATTGAAAACATCGATTCTCTTCCCTGTTTTTTTTTTTTTTTTTTCCTTTTTTTTTCGGTACAAAATGATACAAACAACAATACAAAATAGTTGTGCTGTTGACGATTACTAAAAAAGTCGGAACATCTGTCTCACCGCACAACGCTCAGAGCTGCGTGTGAACACATCATATGCGGTGTCTTTCCCAGAACAACCACAGTCATGCGGGCTGCTACACATCTGTCCATTTTCAAAAAGAAACATGCAAAAAAAAATTAGAATGAGAAAGGAGAGGAGGGAAAAGCAAAATGCGTCCCAAGCACACAGAGGCGGCGTCCGCTGGCCAGCTGGTGCCGCAGAGCCTACACACAGGACGCCAGAGAAGCTGTTGCACCTGGCGCTCTGTGCAGGGCGACTCTGCTTCGAGTTTTTGGTTATTCCTTTCAGCTGGGATGGAGATGGAGCCTTCCCCTCCCCTGTTTACCTAGGAGAAGACAGAGGTGTCATCTCAGTGGACCACGTATTCACTCTGGGGAAACCGAGGCAACTCTGAGGGCCCGACAATTCTGACTCTCTGGGGCAAGAGAAGAACTGCTGGCCAGAACCACAAACAGGCCATCTCGCCACTCTTCTCAGCCGGTCTGGTTTCTCCCGAGAGGAACTAAACCACCCTTCGCACTGTGCAGAGCCTGGCAGGCTGGGCCCCACTCACAGATGTGTCGTATCTACAAGCTACACAAGAGAGACTTTTGACACCGATTGTACGCTTGGCTAATGCTAACTTGTTGGCCTCGGAACACAGCTCCGAGATTGGTCTGGGGGTGCGTGGAACCCCATATTTCTCTAGCCCCAGGGGCTGACTGGGGCTTGGGGTAAGAGGGGAAGAAGTCCAGCTCTCAGGGAATCCCATTGACGTCCCTGCAGCTGAGGACTGCAGGGGCCTCGCAGCGACGGGCTGGGGAGAAGAGGAGCCAGGCAGGTGAGACACTTTACCGAATAGCTGGTGGATTCGGTGCCTCCTGCCCCAGGGTCCCAAGGAAGCCTTGGGATTTCAGAGAAGAGTCCACGGCTGCCTCACTCCCCACCACGTGCACAGTTCCAACAGTACATTCATGCTTCTCGGGCATCGACAGACGTGTGAGTTTTCCGAAAAACAAACCCAAAAACCAAATCCCATCTACCCACCCAGCCCTGACCCATAGCAATCCCATCAGTGGCCACACCCCCAGGTGCTCAGTGCCACCTCATTGGCTACCAACCATGATCAATTTGCATAGGACAGCTTAGGACTGACTCTACCCTCCCCATGCCCCCTTGCCTTTCAAGAGTCCAGCTGGCCTGAGTGGCTATAGAGAGGAGGCCTCCAGGAAGCCACGGGGCCCCTCCTACCTCCTAGGACAGCCGCATGAGGGGTAAGAATGGCCAGAGCTGGGCCAGAGATCCTCAGCTCGGCAAGGACTTCAGAGGTGGGAATGGGTTTGGTTTGGGGAAGAACCCTGACATCCAATAGGACATGCCCACGAGTTTGGGGCCTGTGAGTTCACGCAGGTGTGGCTTTGAGACCAAAGCTGTTTGGAAAAGGAGGTGACCTCAGCCACAGGGTAAAGCCAGATGCTGAGAGGAGGGACCGACTGGAGACTGCTGGCTGGGGAACATGCTGCTCCTGGGTCTCCCAGCCCTTTGAGGCCCTCTTGGCACCCAGCAGCAAGTACGGTGGCCTAGGGCTCTGGGGAGGACTGGTTCACTGTCAGTGCTGGGACTTGTGTCTCCCCAGGGGTGCTCAGACACCAGGGCCTCCCTAGGTGCTTCACCCCTTTCTTGGGGAGTGTGGTGTACTGCCTGGGGTGGGCCAGGAAGCTAATTTAGCACAGGGTGCCCCTCCGGTGCCCACCTCCTGTCTCAGCACAAGGTGCCTCTGGACCCAGACGTGTGGATACTCTAGGCTGTTCTCATTCAGTGGAAAAGGCAGCTTTGCTGTCTCCCACGTCTCAGCACAAGGTGCCTCTGGACCCAGACGTGTGGATACTCTAGGCTGTTATTCAGTGGAAAAGGCAGCTTTGCTGTCTCCCATTGGTTCTTGGACACAGCCTGTTTGCTGTCCTACAGACGTGCTTGCCCCGCCAAGTCGGCCGTGTGTCAGGCTCCAGAGAACAAGAGACATCAGTGGGGACATAGGTCCAAAGCCAGAGCATCTGTGGACATGTGGGTGCAGTAAGAGTCTCTCACTGGCCACTTGGAGCAGGTCTTGACAGCCACAGCAGTTCATGGGGTTGGACAGGAGCTTGGGCTAGATGGGCCTAGGGCAGCTGAGCAGCTACCAGAGTCCAGCCAGCCTCTGTCCTCTGCTGTCTGCACAGCTTTGGGATGACTCATACTGAAGGCATACAGGGGCTCTGCTGAGGGGTGCGTGTGTCTTCAGCAGGGTCCCTCGGGCTCTCATCCCAAAGGGTGGAGGGCTGTACCAGGGTTCCGCAGAATGGTGTGGTTCCTTGGGCAACACACTGTCCTGGACCAAAGAAAGCAAAAGGGACCTTGGTGGTATTGGGGGTAACGCCCGGCCCTGAGGGAGGCTTTCTGGTGGACTGGGGGGCATGGCAGTGGCCAAGGGCAGAGGTGGGGCGCACCGGGGATGTTTCCTATAAATCTCAACTGCCCCAGCTATTTACAGCATCTTGTGGGGCAGGGCACAAATAGTCCATGAAGCAGTAGCTCTGCAGAGAGGCTGGGCCAGCTTAGGGCTTCTGCCACTGGAAAGGCTGAGCCTCCCAGCCTTGGGAGCTAAAGGGGCCAGGAGACCCCAACTGCACACAGCAAAAGCTGGACTTCAAACTATTTTTGCAAATAAGCCACCACTTTCTTTTTCTTAATAAAAGACTTAAAAAGATGCATTCCTTGCCTGGTGCTTTCCTTTCAGAGGGGACCAGATGGGGTTGGGCTTCAGGGCAGGGTGGAGGGAGGTTGGGGCCTCCGGCTGTCCGCTCTCTTTCAGTCACTCCTGAGTTGGAAATCTGTCACGTGTACCAAAAGGCACTTTCGTTTTTTTTTTGTTTTTTTTTGTTTTTTTTTTTTGATTTGTGTTTTAAACAGTGCTTCTGTTCTAGGAAACTGAAGTTAGGGCCGTGCCTCCGGCTCTCCCTTCGTGGTATGTGGCTGCTGAGATGCAGCAGTGGTGGTGGGTGCCCGGTGGCCTGTGTCCATGCTGCGCAGCTCCATGTGGGGCGATGACAGCGGGGAGGGGCTTCCTGACACCAGGACCACTCCGGCGCCTTGGCTCAGTCCTGCTGCTCGGCCTCAAGTGCCCTTCTCGTGTTGGTGGGAGAGGTGAGGCCCGCTAGTCCTCCTCGCCGCCCCCGTACATGTCCGCCAGCTTCTTGAACCGGGGCCCCCAGTCATTCAGAAAGTCATAGTCTTGGTCCCCAGAGCTGGAGGAGTTCAGGGAGCTGACGGAGCCCGCAGTCGAACCGCTGCCCTCATAGTCAAAGACCAGCAGAGAGTCATAGGGGGGTGCCGTGGGGTCATTGTCAGCAGCTCGAAGTCCCTGGGGGTCACAGAGATGAGGGGTTAGGGAGGGGTGTGTGTGTGCGGTCAACCCAGAGAGCTGACAGAACAGAAAGGGAACCCACACGAACACACGGGAGGTGGAGCAGGATCTTGCTTACGGTGGTGCTCACCATAAGGTGTGTTTACCTTCAGGGTAGTTCAGAAGGCCAAAAAGGAAGTATGCTTGTAAGGACGGATGGAGAATATAGGGGCAGCAAGGTCAATGCCACCAGTGGCCACACTGAGGAAGTGTCCAAGGACTGGGTGGACCCTGAGGGTGGTGTGCTGCATTACCGAGGGTTATGATTCGGGCTAGGGTTAGGTCCAGGGTTTATTTTAGGGTTAGTGATAGGGCTGAGTTTAGGATGAGAGTTTTGTTAGGGTTAGGCCTACAGTTAGGCGAGGGTTAGACTTAGGGTCAGTGCTCTGGTTAGAGTTAGGCTAGAGTTCAGGTCAAGGTTAGCGCTAGGGCCAAGGGTAGGATTAGGGTTAGGGCTAGGATTATAGTTCCGGTTAGGGCTAGAGTTAGTGTTAGGATTAGTGGTAGGTTTAATTCAAAGGCTAGAGTTTGAGCTAGGGTTACGGTTAGGGTTAGGGCAAAGACTGGATTTGGCTATGGTTATGGTTAGGATTAGGGCTAGGGCTAGGCTTGTGTTAAGGCTATTGCTAGGGTTATAGTTAGGATTAATGCTGGGGTTAGGATGAGGATTATGATTAGATGCTAGGGCCAATGTTAGTCCTTGAGATATGGCTAGGATTAGATTAGAGTTGGATTTAATTCTAGGACTGGGATGGGCTAGTTAGGGTTAGGGCCAGTCTAAGGTTAGGGTTAGGGAGAGGGTTAATGTTCAGGCTAGGGCTAGTCAGGGTTAGTGTTAGGGCCAAGGCTAGGTTTTAGCCTAGGAATATGTTAGAGCTAGGGCTAGGTTAGGATCTTTAAAAAAACACTTTTTAATTGATTCCAGAATTTCACAATTTCAGATTCTGTAATTTGATCACATTCAGATTCCCTACTCACTTTCTAGTCCACTACCTCCTAACGTCATGTCCTCCATTATTCTCTCTCTCTCTCTCCTCTCTCTCTCTCTCCTCTTGCTCTCTCCTCTCCTCCCTTCTGGGAGTCATGCAGAGACTCAAGCGAAGACATTTTCTCAATGTGAGTTTTCACAATAATCACAGCAATAGAAAGAGAAGGTGGCAAACGGAGCACTTGCCTTCCAAGCTTCTGTCTGGCAGTGACAATGTTCGCTTCCACCCACGTTCCATTGGCAAGAAAGTCAGATGGCCATGCCAGATGCCAAGAGAGGGAGCAGACTGCAGCTCTTTTCTATGCCCAGAAAGTAGAGACCCAAATTCCTTGGCACATTGGATTCATGAGTAACCCCCTACATGCTCCACTTCTACTCTTTAGCATGACATGATATCTTGGGGTTTCCCAGAACTTCTGTGGTCATCATCAGATAATGTATAGTCTGTCTTGTGGTAGCCAATAGTTCAATACAGTGTAACACCAGAACCCAAGCTCCACGGCGTTTAAAATCTCAGTCCATATCTGGCTGTGTCATGAGAGCATGTTTATATGAGATGGAAGCAAGAGTCTAGTTGTCTTGCCTCTCTCTCTCTCTCTCTCTCTCTCTCTCTCTCTCTCTCTCCTCTCACTTCTTTTTCTCTCTCTCCTCTCTCTCCTCTCTCCTCTCTCTCCTCTCCTCTCTCTCTCTCTCTCTCTGTCTCTCTCTCTCTCTCTCTCTCTCTCTCTCTCTCTTGTCCTCTTGCAATCCGTGCCTTCCAAGTGCTCCTGGGTGTGGGTCCATGCCCTGAAGTCTGGTCAGCCCATCCAGGTGTCACACCAGTGAGGAAGGCTGACTCTCCCCCTTCTCGTGTCCATCAGTAGTCAAGAGATTCTCAGGGCTGGGCCTTCCTGCCCATCCCCCATCCATGCTGGGCTCCTATCTGTCTTGACTTTGCACAAGTCTTGTGCATGCTGTCCTAAGTGCTGTGGGTTCGTATGTGCAACCACCCTGTGGTGTCCAGACAACAGTTTCCTTTATTCCTCTACCACCTCTGACTCTTACAACCTTTCCACCCCCTCTTCCACAACGATCCCTGAGCCTTCGGAGAAGATGTGATATCCCAGAATGTCATACAATGTATGTCCCGTTTAGGTCTGAGTACTCTGTGGTCTCTTATTTTCTACACATTAACTATTTGTGGGTCTAGGCTAGGTTTAATGTTAGTGGTAGGGTTAGGGCTAGGATTAGGCTTAGGGTTAAAGACAGGGTAAGTGATGGTTAGGATTAAACGTGGGCTTTGCTCTAGAGTTATAGAGGGTTATAGACTAGGGTAAAGGTTAGGGCTAGTTGTAGGGTTAGTGATTCTGTTTTTGTTTCTGGTCTTTTTGAGACAGGGTCTCCCTGTAGCCCCAGCTGGCCTGGAACTCACTATGTAGACCAGGCTGACCTCAAACTCACAGAGATCCTCCTGCCTCTGCCTCCCAAGTGCTGGAATTAAAGGCCTGTGCCACCATGCCTGGCTATGGATTAATGTTAAGGTTAGGGTTAGGGCTAGGTCTAGGTTTAAGGTTAGTTGTAATGTTAGGGTTAGGGTTTGGCTAGAGTTAGAATTAGCATTAGGGGTATGGTTAGGACTAGGGGTAGGGTTAGTATTGATAAGTATAAGGTTAGGGTTAGAGTTAAAGTTAGGGTTAGAATAGGGTTAGGAATTAAATAGGGTTAATGCTGTGGTTAGAGCTAGGGTTAGGGTTAGGGACAGGCTAGTATTAAAATTAGGGTTAGGAATAGGGTTGGGTTAGGGTTAGGGATAGGCTAGGGTTAGAGTTAGGGTTAAGGATAGGGCTAGGGTTGCATTAGGGATAGTGTTATATTTATGGATAGGGTTAGTGATAGGGCTATGGTTAGATCTAGGGTTAGGGTTAGAGAGAGGGCTGGGCTGTCTGTTTCTCCCGTGTTAATTTTTGTTGGTTGGTTTTTGAGAAAGTCTCATGTCATTCAGCTTGGCCTTGAACTCACTATGTAGCTCAGGATGACTCTGCAGCACCGTGGACAGCTTTCTGCAGTGCTGGGGATCGAGCCCAGAGCTTGGTACTTGCTAGGCAGGCACTCTCCCCTCTGAGCCACCCCCTTAGCCCGGCAGCTCTCCTTAATTCCTTTTCTCAGAACACTCTTCTCTGGGTTTCCTGCTGATTTACCCCCTCTCCCCCTTGCTTCTCAAGTTGGCAGCTTCATCCCTTTGTACCCACCCTTTCTAACTCTATGATGTGTATGCATTTTCTTCTGAGCGTCACTTTGGCCCGACCCTGTCGTGGGAAAGGAGTACTATTCCCTATCCAGTACCTTTAATTTCTATCTTTAATTTCTTCTGAGTGACTTAAAAGTGGACTGTGGACTGTAGGTCAGGGAGTGGAATATGCCTTGGGGGTTTAAATGTTTTGTTGCTCATGGTGTTGTTGGGCAACTGCAGAACCTGGTGTCTTGAATGACCTCTCTTATGGGAATGTTTTGAGGAAACTTCTAGATGTTTGCTGACTCACACACTGAGTTATTTAAGAAAATCGTACAAATGTCTCTGACTTCATTTTGTGACTACAGTGAGTATTGGGGACCAGTGGTAAAAGCACAGCTCCTCCCATCTCCATGCAGACAGGTGTGTGGTGCCACAGATGGGGCTGCTTTAGCTGTTCTTTGCTTTACCGTGAAGCAAGGTGGACAGAGGTGTTCGCCAGGGCCCTGTGATTTTGTAAAACTTCCATTTTGGTTAAACAATAAGTTTCAAAACTAAAGTCATTTGGTTTCCAGGACTAAAGTAACTTGTTTTTCTAGAGTCTTGTCCTCCTGGCCCTACTGATGCCAGTCATGGTCAGCACTCATTGGTTACCCCTCTCATGTTCCTTCTCTGGTTCTTTGTTCTGCCCTATAACTACCCTGTAAGCAAACAGTGAGCTCCCTGGTTTCTGGACCTAGAGATCTCCCCTCTGAAGGGTCCCCTCCGCCCTCCACACACAAAACCTGTGCCGTCATGGAATTGTTTGTTCCCTTGCTTGTCTTTTCTTCCTGCAGACTTTGTAAGAGTCAGGGGTGTGCTGTGGAGCAGAGCCTGAACCTTCGTGACTCAGCTGTAAGAGATGTGCCAAGCTTCTCCCAGTGCGGGGAAGCTTGTCGTTGGGTCTTTAATGCAGCCAAATGCTGAAGGTTAGGAAGCAGGGCTCTGTGGATACCATCTCTTGGGTTCTCATCTTTGTGTTCTGATAGAGGGTGGTGGGCAGAGGTGGCTGGGTAGAGCCAAGACATGGCAGGTCAGTCTGCCTGGGTGGCAGGGTTCCAGCCTAGACTGAAACTGGCCAGGTCCCAAACTAGGGCTGGAGGGACCTGTGTATCCAAGAGCTGTGCCCTCTGCCATTTCCCCTCAGAACGGTTCTTTCTGCTTCTACCTATTGTGGGCACAATGGCCTTGGTGGCTCCTAATTCCCATGAAGCCCCTGCTGAGAGCTAAGCCCCAGTGGTAAGAATCTTAGACCTTGGAGGAGCTGACTCAGGAGCTAACGTGCTCGAGACTGTACAGCAGGAGGTCAGACCTGGGTCTGAACCACCTCTGAGCCACAGAACCCCATGTGTGTGTGTGTGTGTGTGCGCGTGTGTGTGTGTATGTGTGTGTGTGCATGCATGTGTCTATGTGCGTGCACGTGTGTGCGTGTATGTGTTTTTGTGTATGTTGTGTGTGCATGTGCGTGTGTGTACGTATGTGCATGCATGCGTGTGTGTGTGCGTGTGTGTGTACATGTGTTAACAGGGTTTTATTTTTAAAGGAGACACTTTGCTCATACCTCGTTGATGAAGTCTCCAATATCACCTGGGTGGGGCACTACAGGCCTGACTGGGTACTGGGGTTCAGCACCCACTGGCCGCTCATCCACCCGCCGCACACCAGGGGCCTTGCTCAGCACATGTTCCATGGCTTCCGGCTGCTGCAACTGGCTAAGGTCATAGTCCTGGGGGTGCAAGACAAGACAGTCCGGGATCACAGGATGGAGTAACAGCAGGGGACCAGGACAGTCCTCAGTGCACTCTCATCCATTTCTGTCACCTGTCCGAGGGTGCCCTAAGGTTGCCACTCCTTGTCTCCAAACACATTTGCCACCCTGCTCCTGAACCTGGCTCCAAGTCCATTCTGGGCCTGTCCTTTCCACAATACCCACCTCCTTTCCTTTTTGTCCCAAGCCTGCCTGACCTCCAGGTAGGTGGGGAGTCTGTGCCTACCAGCTGCCTGCAGGGGCCTGGGCACCCCATCCCCCCAGATGACCATCCTGCCTGTAGCTCAGCAGGAGAGGGCTGGGCCCTCCTTGTCCCTACTAGGTACTCTATGCAGTCCACACACTGTGATCAACAGCCCCCCCAATTGGGGATGTTCAGCAGGAGGTACCGGTGTCCACAGCAGACACTGGACTGTCTCCTCCAGGGCACAAGGCAGCAATGGGCTGGAGCTGGTGGTTAGAGAAAGGGGGGATGGGGAGGAGGACAGGTCTGCTGAGAGGATGCAGACAGCGCACAGTTAGTCCAGGCCTGGGAGAATGCACACAGGCAGGAACCTGGCTGGGAACTGCAGCCCGTGTCCGGATCTGTGCCTCTGGAAAGCAACACATGACACCTTTCTGGGGAGAAAAGTGGCATCTCACACTAAACCCCAGTGCACACCCTGCTGAGCCCCTGGGATGCAGTAGGGAGCCTAGGGCTCACCTGGTCCTCCTCACCGCCGCCTTCCTCATCGTACTTGAGGATGTTATCACGTACGTCGTCCTCGGGGTCGATGAGCAGCTGCTTCGTGTGTCGCTCCTTCTCCCGCCGCTTCATCCACATGACGAACAACAGGACCATGGCTGCAGGAGGAGGGGCACTGTGAGGGGTGTGTGTACTCATGGGGTACCTGTGTGGGCATGTCTGTTCATACGTGTGCTCTGGTGTGAATGTGTGTGCATGCTTGCCTTTGTATATGTGAATGCATGCCTGGGGGTGTGCCTCTTGAACATATGCACATGTGCACACAAGCACACACGTGTGTATGCCTGAGGAGCTGTGTCTGGGGTACACACTTGTGTTCATGTGTACATATTTGCACACATGCACAGATATGTGTGTGCTTCACAGATGTATGTCTGTGTGTATGTGGGCATGGGTGGAACATACATTTTGTGCTGTGTATAGTAAACATGTGTTCACATATGTGCAGCATGTATACATTCATGTGTGCATGTGTGCACGTGTTCAGTTTCCAAGGAATGGCTCAACTCCTGCATTCCCCACTCCCTCTCTGGCACCAGAGCAGGGGTCTGGGACATTTGTGTACTGCCATCCCTCAGTGTTGGGGACTTGGTCCCAGGTCTCCTGCTCTGTGAGTACCAAGTCCCAGACACAAAGTGGTGCAGCATTTGACAAGGCTGACTGCGTACACCCTCCTGGTACAGAGATCCACTCTAGGTGACTGACAGGAAGCAAGTGCTGAGCAGACAGCTGTTATACTGTATTTTTCTTGGAATACAGACAAGACAGTCTGGTCTGTGCATATTCTGTTCGTTGGAACTGGCTATGTAGACCAGGCTGGCCTCGAACTACAGAGATCTGCCTGCCTCTGCCTTCTGAGGGCTGGGGTTAAAGGTGCGCACCACCATGCCTGGCTTCAGATGCAATTCTTTTTTAGAATACTTCTGATCTGCTGTTGGTTGAATCGACAGATGTGGAGCCTGTGGGCACAGAGGGCCTACTGGACTTGTTTCTCTCCTCCTAACCTCACTTAGAGACATAGCCAGCTCAGCACACACCTCATCACTTGAGGGAAAGGAGGACGCTAGTGGGAGATGAGCTGAGGGGGTCATTACTCGTCAGAATTGTGGGGGGTGATTGGGCCCAGGAGGCAAAAGGGAGGGTTTCAGTATACCAGGTGTCTAGGGGGAGCCACAGAGGGGGGAGAGGGCTGGAGAGGGAGGGAAAGCCCAAAGAAGTCCTCCAGCAGGTTGGGCAGGGGAGAGTGGGACCATCTCCTGCACCCCCGGAGGCCCTAGGAGCTGCCCCTGGAAGCACACTGGACTGAGGGGCAGTTCCACCCAGCAAGGAAGGAAGACTAGGGGACAGTCCCAGGGGTCCCTCTACCACCCAAAGGACTTGGGGTGCAAACTGAGAAGTGATGCCCCCTCCTCATCATGTGTGGATGGAGGGGTCTCCCCCACCTGATGCTCCCTGCCCTCTGACCCTGTGCTTGTCTTCGGACCTTTGGGTGCCCTGGCTTTTGTATGTCCTGCTCTGGCTGGTCTCTGCACCTGCTTCTGGGCTCTGATGGCAGGGCCTGTGCATCTGCCTTGGGCTCTGGGAGGGAGCAGCATGCTCACATCCTCGTGAGGGCACAGGCTCTGCAGGGTGCTTTCTGCTGGCCCCTGACATCTCCCTATTCACAGACAAGAAGGAACATACCCACTGAGTACTCCGGGGGGGCGAGTCAGGTGAGCCTGGGAAGGGGCAAGGACCACCTGGTCTGGAGAAGAAACTGATCAGTGGAGTGGCTGACTGTGTGCTGTGGTGAGTACTCTGCAGCTAGTGTAGGCTTGGAGGCCAGAGCTCTATGAGTGATGGACACTGTCTTTCTCAAATGCAGGGAACAGTGGTGATCAGGGACCCTCTGATGTGGCCTAAACTATGGACAGGGAACTGGACAGGGACTGGGGAGCTTCCACCTCTGAGCAGCTGGTGGAAACTGGAAATGTGCCATTCTTTACTCATGGGAGTGGCAGGAGAGGCAGCTACTCAGCTCATGTCTTAGGGGGAGGGAGCTCGTGGAGGAGGAAGAGCCCCCCAATACAGCTTACTCTCTGATGGGGCCTCAGGGGTGTCTGTCTGCTGACCCCCAGCCTGGTAAGCTGAGGAAAGGCCCAGGCTGCGTCTCTGAGGCCGACCTCTAGCTCAGTTGGCCTTCATTCACCCCTGTGTGGGTGCTGCCTACTAGCCTCGTCCCGCTGTCTTTGGAAGAATGTGGTTTCTAGCCCCGCTGCACAGCCATCTCTCCCTGTGGTGTGGCCACCTCTGCTCTACATAAAGACGATCTGTCCAGAGGCCTTGGAATAGACCACATTTAGAGAGGATGCTAGGTCTGACCTGGAGGGGAGACAGATGCCTCAGAGATGGGGTGGCCTGGGACATGGCTCACTCTGGTTCAAGAGGGGACCTGAGGCCTGATCCTCCAGCACATGGTGGGGACCCTTTGGCTCAATACGATAGAGGGCTGCTGATGCTCTGTCCTACTCCTCCATGTCTTCCACCGTCCCTGGGCTACAGCTGGATAGGACAACTGTCCAGGTGGGCGGATGGGTCCCCATGACCATTTTAAAGCATCCCTCCCCTTCCCCAGAGCCCACACCCCTGTTAGGGGAGCCACATGGTTTTGGGAAATGCAAGAAGCATCTGGAGCATGTGACCTGGGCAAAGCCAGGGAGCATATTCCATGCCCAGCAAGTGATTGGTTCTGAGCACACCTATGTCCTGAGCCAGTCAAAGCAGGGCAAGTCTTAGAGGCTTGGATGGAGATGTTGACAGGCAGGACACACCTTCCACTAGTATTTGCAGGCATGGGAGGCCCAGGAGGAAGGCACCTGTGGAGGAAGAGTGGGGTGATGGAATGGGACAGTGCTGAGCTGCTCAGTCAAGCTGGCCCTCTGTCTAGATGTGACGGGTGGGACGTCCAAGTTTCATCCTGTACGTACGAGTTTAGTTGGGTTTCAGGAAGGTTCCTGACAGATAGGAGTTACTGAGCAAAGCAGGCTGTGGAGGAAACTGGACCCATTCCCACCTGGCTGTCCCTGGGGCAGAGTGCTCATGAAGGCTCACTCACTCAGCAGGATGACGATGCAGAGGAGAATGGCCACGATGGCACCCGTGCCCAGGCCAGCCGCGGCCACAGCACCAATGGCGGTGCAGTCACCGTTCTCATCACACGGGCACACCTTGACTTTGATGATGGATGTGTTAGACAGAGGAGGGTTCCCAGAGTCCGTGACGATGATGGGGACGTCATACACCCCTGCCTCCAGGTACAGGATACGTAAACTGAGCTGGGCATAGTCACCTAGAGAGAGGAACAGCAAACGTTCAGCCAGTGGGCATCTCCTTCCTAACAAGACTTCTGCAGGCAGAGACCAAGTCCAATGGCATGAAAATCTAAATGTCTGTCACACGTGCACACACACACTATATACACACCATACATGTACACACATGCATGCACACATACATCATACACACATCACATGTATACAACACAAATATGCACACATATGCACAAATATATACACAAATCACACACATGAGTGAACATACATCACACACATACATGGTGCTATACATCATTAAAGACATTGGGCTGGGGAGATGGCTCAGCTGATAACATGCTTGTCACAACAGCATGAGGATCTGAGTGTGACCCCCAGGACTCATGTAAAAAGGCTGGATATGGTGGTGCATATGTGTAATCCCATCACTGGGGAGGAAGAGAAGGCAGATCCTGGGGACTGCTGGCCAGGTAGCCTAACCTACATGGTGAGCACCAGGCCAGTGAGAGATCATGTCTCAAAAAAAACCGTGGAGACTTCCTGAGGAATGACACCAGAGGTTGTTCTATGGCCTCCTGTGCATATGCACACACACGTACACACACACGTACACACACACACACACACACACCACAAACACACACACACACACACACACACCACAAACACACACACACATACACACACACACACACGTACACACACACACACACGTACACACACACACACCACAAACACACACACACGTACACACACACACACGTACACGTACACACACACACACACACACACACACACACACACACGAAGTTAAAGATGTTGACAATGGGGCTGGAGAGATGGTCCAGTGGTAAAGATCACTGGCTGCTCTTGTAGAAGAGCAGGGTTCAGTTCCCAGCACCCACATGGTGGTTAACGTCAGTCTGTAACTCCAGTTCCAGGGGATACGATGCCTTCTTTTGGCCTCCATAGGTATTGCACACACATGGTGCACTTATATACATCCAGGCAAAACACTCATACACATTAAAAAAAAAAGGTATTGACGATGCCAAAAAAGAGAGCAACTGTAGCTGTACAATGAAGACATACTTTTCTGAATATGCAGAGTTTTATAAAAATGAATTAGGAAAAAAAACTTCCCCAAAGAAAAACAGGCACTGAATGGGCTCCAAAACCTCAACACATATGTAAGCAATCTTCACTGGGAGCCGGAAGATGAAGGTGGGGCAAGGATTTTGGCCATAAACTTGGCAAAACACCTCTCCAGGCAACACCTGTCCGTGGTGGTGAGAAGAAGCAGGCGTTCTGCTGGGGGATGCAGGAAGGGCATTGTGTCTCAAGGGAAGGCATGATGCTCCCAGTACTGGTCACACTTGAGAATGAGGGCACCCTGTCATACAGCAACAGGGATGCAAACAAAAGAAGAAAATATAAGAAAAATGTCTAGGACATCAGTGTGCACTCTTCCAGAACACACTAAATGTGAAGAAGAAAAAAAGACATTTATAAATACCTCTTTCAGTATGGCCACATTATATTTGAACTCTATCCTTACAGGCATTTTGGAGCCTAATAGGAATGACTGCAATGCATTCGGGTTTTTAATGAAAGGTGGTTTTAAAACATCATTTCAGGGATGCCAAGATGACTCAGCTGGTAAAGGCACCTGCCACCAAGCCTAATGACCTGAACATCCACGTAGTAGAAGGAGAGAACTGACTTCCTCAAGTTTTCCTCTGATCTCCACACATATACCATAGAATGTGTATATACACACACACGTACACACACACACACACGTACACACACACACACCACAAACACACACACACGTACACACACACACACGTACACGTACACACACACACACACACACACACACACACACACACGAAGTTAAAGATGTTGACAATGGGGCTGGAGAGATGGTCCAGTGGTAAAGATCACTGGCTGCTCTTGTAGAAGAGCAGGGTTCAGTTCCCAGCACCCACATGGTGGTTAACGTCAGTCTGTAACTCCAGTTCCAGGGGATACGATGCCTTCTTTTGGCCTCCATAGGTATTGCACACACATGGTGCACTTATATACATCCAGGCAAAACACTCATACACATTAAAAAAAAAAGGTATTGACGATGCCAAAAAAGAGAGCAACTGTAGCTGTACAATGAAGACATACTTTTCTGAATATGCAGAGTTTTATAAAAATGAATTAGGAAAAAAAACTTCCCCAAAGAAAAACAGGCACTGAATGGGCTCCAAAACCTCAACACATATGTAAGCAATCTTCACTGGGAGCCGGAAGATGAAGGTGGGGCAAGGATTTTGGCCATAAACTTGGCAAACACCTCTCCAGGCAACACCTGTCCGTGGTGGTGAGAAGAAGCAGGCGTTCTGCTGGGGGATGCAGGAAGGGCATTGTGTCTCAAGGGAAGGCATGATGCTCCCAGTACTGGTCACACTTGAGAATGAGGGCACCCTGTCATACAGCAACAGGGATGCAACAGTGTGGGGCCAGTCAGCTGATGACCAATGGGAAACAATAGGACGCAGCAAGGGCTGGCATAGTCACGGCTTGAACAGCAAGGCACTGGGGTCAAACTCACAGCCTCACGCAGGGTGAACAGAGTCATAACTCCAGCCTTGTATGGGAGCCGTTGGGGGGTAAGGGCTGAACAGTCCTCTTGTAGGACTGCCCCTCATCTCCATGGCTCACTGCTCCTTGGTGATAGACCCGGGGCTGGACGCTGGACCCTGATTCCATTTTGTACTTCAGGTGGGCTCACCATTTAGGCGAGTGATGGTCCAGTTCTTCCGCACAGTGGTGGGGATGAAGGGCAGCTCAAAGACGTAGGGGCCGATGTTGGGGTCCACATCGGCATCAGCTGCGGTGATGTTGATGGCGTTGAGGCCGGGTCTCTCACAGATCTGTGCCTCCTTGGGCAGCAGTTCAGGTCCGTTGTCATTGATGTCGATGAGGTATATCTGCAAGGTCCCAGTGCCACTGGCCGGGGGGATCCCTGGGGGACCGACATGAGTGAACACACAGGGCCCCACACAAGTTAGATGCACAGGCAACCACACATGACACCCAGATGTGTGTAGCCCCAACCAGACACACGGCTGCATGCTGACTGGGGTTCTTTTACCATCTTGTGACTGCACCTTGAAGCTCTTGCTGTAGCAGGAGATGTCCTTCCTATGTCCTTCCCCCAAAAGGCTGAGTGCCCGTCATGGGCTGTCTACATGGCTAACTTTGTGGACCACAGGGATCATGAGGCCTGGGAAAGCCAGTAGGGTCATTACCTCACCCCTTTCACTTGCTATGGGACCAGCTTTGGGGCCACAGTGACTCTTGTTCCTCAAGTTTCAGCTGCCCAGCTGTTCCAAGAACCTACCAGCATAGTCCTGCTGCAGGTCCTTGGCCTGTGTTTCTCCCAGTGCTGGGACAATCCTCTCCCTCTCCTTCCCTGGCTCTTCCCATGGCCTTTGTTTCCTCTCAACTCTAATTGCAGTTGAAATGATCTGGTTGGCTTGTCTCTCATAGGTCTCTGTGGGGCTGAGACTGCTAAGTTGACACCCTAAACTGCGCCATAACTATCAGTTTTACCTCCCATTGCCACTGTCCGCTGGGAGGTTGGTTATATGTTCAACAACATTGCAGGGCAGGCCTGGGTTATCAAATCTTGCCCTGGCTGCCTGCTTCCAGACATATCCTCCTTCACAGTACTGGGGATTAGACTTAGAGCCTCATGATAAGCAAGTGCTATTCCATCAGACCACATTCCAAGTCCTCCTTTTTTTACACATTAAAAAAAATTTTGAGGACCTGGAGAGATGACTCGGAGGTTCAGAGCACTGGATGCTCTTGCAGAGGATCTGGTTTTGGTTCCTAGCACTCACATGGTGGCTAACAATAGTCTGTAACTCCAGTTCCAGGGGATCAGATGTCCTCTTCTGACCTCTGTGGACACTGCACACACAAGTGCACTTACATGCAGGCAAAACACTCATACATGTAAAGTAAAAATAAAAACTTAAAAAGATGTTAAAAATTTTTTGAGACAGGGTCTTACTATGTAGCCCTGGCTGATCTGGAACTTGCTGTGTAGACCAGATGGCCTGGAACTCACAGATCTGCCTGCTTCTACCTCCTGAGTGCTGTACATTTAAAAGTTTTTGATACAGTCTCACTAGATTGCTCAGGCTGGCTTTGGACACACTCTGTAGCTGAGGTGGGCCTTGAGCTTGCTATCCTCCTGCCTCAGCCTCTTGAGTAACTGGGATTACAGCTATACATCACCAGGCCTGGGTAAACCTCTTCTCCTGCCCTGTCCTACCCTGTCCTGTCCTCTCCTGTCCCATCCTGTCCTGTTCTATCCTCTCAGACCGTCCTACCCTGTCCTCTCTTGTTCTATTTCTCTTCCTTACCCCCTTTTCTACAGTATTGGGACTAAACCCAGGACTTTACACATGCTAGGCAAGCACTCTTATCACTGAGTTCTATGCCTTCAGCTCCAGCCCTCTTTAATATGAAAGAAAACCCTCTCAGTCCTTTTGAAGTTATAGCCATCCTGTCACTGAAGTAGGTTTGACCAGGCAGGGACTCGGTCTCTTTTGATCCCTGGTGGGCACCTGGCCCTCAGTGGGCTCTACCATGCAGGGCTCTGTCTCTTCCGACTCCTGGTGGGTGCCTGGTCCTCAGCAGGCTCTCAGCGAGTGGCAGGATGGCAGCGTGCAGAGCCACGCAGAGCACTGGCCTCTTGCTCACTTACACTAGGCCTGTCCTCAGTCCTGTGGGTGACCTAGGTCTGACTCTTGGAGGTATTATGGTCTCGCCATTCTGCTAAGGAGGAAGTTGAGGCTTCGAGAGGTCTCTTCCCACACAGGAGCAGTGGTGCTAGACTGACCTCTGCTTCCAGAAGCTCCTCTTGCACCTGCCTGCTTCCACTACACTGTGTACCCATGGGAGTGTTCAACTGGACTTGGGGGTGCTGTGGGTCCTGGGAGTGGCCTCCTGGCTGTGGGCCACAGCACGCTGCTCCCTGTATCTGGCCCACAGCCTCAGAAACCTAGCGTACCTGCCTCGTCTTCTTTAGTACGGCTCATCTTCCGTCCTGCCTGGCCCCTCCATTGTGCCACCCGCCCAGGGCCTGCCACTGTCCTCTCTGGCTCCCAGGGCTGTTGGGCCCGCTCTGATTCCAGGTCATAGGGCTGGAGTCACAGGCCTTCCTGCCCTCCCTGGGCTGTGTGGCCAGGGCTATCTGTTAGCAGTGCTGGAGAACTGCAGATCTGCTTCTGTCGCTTCAGTTTAGAGGTGGGGAAGCTGAGAAGCCAGTCAGGGCATGGACAGTGGGCAAGGACAGGCTGGGATGGCCATCTGCCACCATGTCCCCTGCCTCTGACTACCCTGGAGCCAGGAGTGAATGAGGGACAGAGGGACTGCTGTGAGGGAACGGGAGCAAATAAACAAGCGATTCTGTTGTTTGGGGAGATGGGAGCGGGCAGGCTGGGTGGGGGCAGTGGTGAGTGATGAGGCCTCCAGTTCCTGACTGTCTGTACAGACTCCCTTCTTGAAGTCCTGCTCCAAGCCTAGCTCTCCCTGGGTGCCACTGGCTTTCCTGACCAGCACCCTCTCTCATAGCACTAGGACATGAGAAGCTGCTGTGATAGGGCCCTCCTGGAATGAGACACACCATTGTCAGCAGCCAGGAAGGTGGCCTCGTAGACGTTGTTCTTTGTGTAGAGGGACTCGCGGTCCAGGACTGCAGCTGTGGTGATCTGTCCGTTGGACGTGTTGATGTGAAGCCAGTTTGCGGGATCTGACAGCTTTGAGTACCTACGGACAGGAAGCCAGCAGCGAGGTGAGGGCTGGAGAAGATGGCTACTCTGGGCCTCGGTTCTCTCACCCAGCAGATGGCATGGTTGCTCCTCCTGGCCCTGTCTATATTCTGGGACCACAGCATCCCTGGGCACAGTATCCCAAGGCACAGCATCCCAGGCCACAATATCCTAAGGCACAGCCTCCACAGCATCCTGGGACACAGCATTCTAGTCTGCAACATCCTGGGGCACAGCATCAGCATCCCAGAGGAGTGCAGCCTTAGCATCTTTGGGTACAGGATCCTGATCAAAGCCTCGTGGCATTTCTGTCCTCTGGGAGTGCCAGAAGGCTGCATGTACCTCTGGTCTCTCCTGCAGAGGGACAGGCCACAGCAGTGCCTCAAGTCCCTGTGGAGGTATCTCAGCTTCAGGACCCCACAAGGCTGGTGCTCTCATCACCCTCCGTGTACAGGTGGGCACTCTGAGGTACAGAGATGGTAAGTAGCTTGCTCAAGTCACACACCACTCAGTGATAGTGAAAGCAGTACTGGCCCTGACTCCGCAATCCAAAACTCCTCTGTCATCTTGGACATGGTGACAGTGCTCACCAAGTGCCGAAGACTGTCCTTGTGTGATGCTCTGGGGAGGCTGCTGCTCCCAGGCAGGGCTGGGCTCTCAGGTCTGGACATAGTGCCTCTTGTCTCCCTCTGTACCGGGCTTCCTAGTTTTTAGGATTTCTTGGGCATTTTGGGACTCTTCTGTGTGGCACATAGGGTTGGACATCACTTGAGGGGTCAGATAGCTCCGGGCCAATGCTGAGTACCTACCTTACGGCTTGCTGCATGAACCGGTCAGGGTCCACGGCAGAAAAGGTGGTCAGTGCAGTACCAGCAGGCACACCCTCTTCCAGGCGGATCAGCTTGTGGTTGGAGGGGAAGTAGGGGGCTTCATTGACATCAGTGACAGAGATGGTCACCCCTGCTGTGGACTGGAAGGACATCTGGATCCCACTGGCCAGGGGTGCTTGGTTGGACACCATCACCGTCAACATGAAGGCACGGTTCAGCTCATAGTCCACTGCCTGGAAGGAGGGTCAGGAGAGCTGAGGGTTTCCTGCAGTGCGTGTGGGACTGGCCATTCCCACTGCCCTCGCTCCCTGGCTCTCCTTGCCTTGCTTGTACAGGGCCTGGTCCCTACCGTTCCTTTGTGTCATACCTTTGTCTCTGGCTTCCTGTGAGTTCTGGCCAATGTAGGGAGAGGGGGGTTGGGGTAAAGGTTCCTAGTCAGCAGCCCCATGCCCTGGTGAGGCAGAGGCTGGGTTTCTGGGGTAGCTGCTTCAGCCTCCTGAGTGCTGGGATTACAGGTGTAGGCCACTCCCCAGTTTCCGCTCTCCCTGCTGGGCTCTGTACAGGGCCCGGGCCCCTCTGCTCCACACCCTTGTCTCTGGCTTCCTGTAGGTTGTTGTCCATGGGAGAAGAGGGGCTGGTGTAAAGGGTTTCTAACTGTTCCCAGTACTGAGTGAGGCAGAGACTGAGGTCCTGGAACAGTGATCCTCCTGCCTCAGCCTCCTGAATGCTAGGATTACAGGTGTGTGTTACCACACAAAACCATAGTTTCACAAATTTTTTTTTTTCTCTTTTTGAGACAGGGTTTCCTTGTAGCCCCAACTGGCCTGGCATTTGTTATATAGATCTGGCTGGCCTTGAATTCACCGAGATCTGCATGCCGTTGCCTCCCAAGTCACCACGTAGTTTCACAAATTCTTAATAATAATGAGAACGGGAAAATACCAACAAATCATTCCTTGATCACCGTGTGCACAGAGCAGTGGCCTCCAAAACACCCAGAGCCTCAGCAGGGCCTGACCTTGGGCCTTGGAGACTGTGAACTTGCAGACATGAGGACTCACATGGTGGAAGGAGAAAACTGACTCTCACAAATTATCCTCTGACCTCCACATGCATGTGTCACACATGTGCCCCCAGGTACCCATTCATACAGTAAACAAACAAGTGCGATTTAAAAAATCTAAGCGTTTGCTAGACAAGGTAGCATACACCTGCAATCCTAGCACTCAGAAGGTAGAGGCAAGTCCACAAGTTTGAGGTGAGGCTGGAATACTCAGGGAGACCCTGCCTCAAAAGGCAAAACCAGGCTGGGCACAGTGATGCACACCTTTAATTCCAGTACTCGAAAGGTAGAGGCAGGCAGATCTCTCATTTCAAAGCCAGCCTGGTCTACATAGCAAGTTCTAGACGAGCCAGGGCTATATAGTAAGACCCTGTTTCAAAATCAAAACAAAACAAAACCAAAAACCAAAACCAAACCAAAATACCTAAGCTTTTATTTATTTAGTATTTTCTTGGACTTGCTATGAATTTTGTATTCCCAGTTATTGACTTAAAGTAATATAAATGGACAATTCTGGAGTCAGAAGTAACATGAGTGTCCCTGGGCTCTAGGTGGACCAGTTCCTTCCAGATACTCATGTTCTCTGTCTTTCCACTCTGGAGGGGGCTATGCAGGGCCCTGCCCCATCTTCACAGCCAGCTACGGCCTCCTGCCTCCAGCTGCCTCTGACCTTCCCGACTTCTCCCCCCGGCCCCATTCCCTCTCATAAGGACCTCTGAGATTGCACTGGGCTCACGTAGATGGTCCAGGCTCACCTCCAACCTTCAAACCCTCAACTCTGTCTGTTGCCATCTGGGACACACGGTCACAGATCTTGAAGCAGGCATGGGGTCCTGGGGCAAATGGTACTGATGATGTCTCCAGGTCCCTGCTGCCAGGGAAAGCTTCCACACCAAGGTGGAACCTAGGAGAGTGCTGGTGGTGGGTGCTAAGAGCAGTCCCTGTGTCCTTGTGAAGAATAGGGCCTGAGTAACCATTGCCAGATGGACGATACGGTCATGGTGGAGACTGCGTATTCACAGAGCATGGAGCACCACCCTACAGTTTGCTGTCCCTTTATAGGAGGGTCAGGAGGCTCCCACCCGAGTCCATGGGCCAGGCCTTGGACTGGACAGCCACATACCACAGCTTTCCTGCTCCCCTCACTGGTTCCTCTGAGCCTAATTCCTCCCTCACAGGAAGCTTGAGAGAGAGCAGGGCTGTGACACAGGCTCAGATGCAATCAGATCTCAATGCGGGAACACTCATAGCCACCTGACTCAGCTTCTTCAGCAGGTCAAAGGTTGGAAGAATGTTCTAGATTCTGAGAGACTCATGAGATTGTAAACCCAATGTGATGTGGGGAAGTTATTCAGGGCAGATGGGAAGAACGGGATTTCAAAGAGACCGTTTCAGGAAAACGAAAGAAAACTGAACATGAACTTGCTTTGGGCTATAGGAAGTGGTTGACTTTGTCAGGTGTGGTATGTATATGGTTTCTGTAAACAAAGCATAGTTCTGAGGTGATACACCCTGACATATTTAGGGGTAGAGAACTTTGAGGTCTGGGAAATTCACATGACAGTCCACGTGGCTTCCTGCCTCTTGCTCTAGGCCTGCCTCGGGTCACCATGAGTTCTTGCTTCTTGCTCTAGGCCTGTGTGAGGCCTTCATGAGTTCTCTTTGGGGAGGAATTTTGCAGGTGAATCTGGTCACTGTCTCCTGTGTCCCACCTGCAGGTGCTTACCCTTGTCTGGGCCCAACTCTCCAAGCCTGTAGCTGATGGATCCGAATCCATCCTATCCCGTGCCACCAGTTTTGTGAGCATTAGCAGTCTAAGCACAGGCATTGGCCTATCCAGCTCGGGGTCCAGAGGGGTGGCAGAGAGGCGACCAGTGACTGTGATCTTGTGAGCCCTCTCCATTCTCAAGCCTAGCCTTCACGCTCTGAAGGGGTGACCGCTTACCTCCCTGAGCCTATAGTATGATCTTGCCTCTCCACGGTGCATGGTGATGCCCACCTGTCACTGCCCCCAAGCCCTGGGGTATGACTGGGTCTGTGCCTCTGCCACCTCAGCTCCAGGTTGTGCTGGTGAGGTCTGCTGTACAAGTATGGAACTGACTGACCCTTCCCTTGTCCTACCTCTGTGCAGTGCTAATTGTAGCGCTAGGTGCTGTATAGGTACCTTTGTGGGTGGGGTTGGCACCCACAGGGTTACCTGGCTGAACTCACAATCACCCCAGCTAGCTGCAAGCCTGAAAAGGATACTTGGCTCATCCATCTCTGGATCCCTGGTGCCACCAAGCTTCCAGAACTGGAACTACACTGTGATCAGGTACCTCTCCTGCAGAGCTAATAACTGCTAATGTCTGCAGTTCCTCCTGGAAGCCCCAGGTAGGGGTCAGACCAGTCTGCTTAAACAGGCTGCTTCATAAAGCTGTGGAGGGAAGGGTCCCTCTGTGTTTATTGGCTTTTGTTCCTGGAGGACACAGAATGATGCTGTATTTGATGTATTAAAAAATCACGTTACCAGTTTGAGTGAACAGGTTTTCTAGAAAGACTATAGTGACCAATAAAATCCACAGGCATGTGAAATAAAACATGTCTGTAATGGGGAAATTAATAGGCAATTTGCTCCAACAGATTCAATTAGGATATTGGACTTGCCAAGGAGGCTCCTCCATCCCCAAAGCAGTGACCCTCAGCTCAGAGGTGGGGGCTAGGTGCACCCTGGGGAGAGGGGCTCTGGTATTAGGCCAGGGAGGAGGGTCACGATGTGCCTTCTTGTCATCTAGCTGAGCATTGCTCTACAGGTTTGCATGCGGCTTCGCGTGAAGAAGGACACTCTTGTCCACAGAACTCCAGTGACGGCATGAAGGCCAAAATCTGAACTTTTCCCAGTGGAATAATAGTGAGTGAGAGGTGTAGGCAAAAGGATAAGGAGTTCAAGGCCAGCCTTGGCTACCTAGCAAGTATGAGACCAGCCTGAGCTAGGTGAGACCCTATGGAGGTTATCTCCACAAGGTTTGGTCCTCTGCCCTGGAGGCTAAGCGAGGGGTGTGTGTGTGCGCATGTTCCATCTGGCTGGCCCAGGGAATGAACAGGCAGCAGTCACCCACCTTCACCACGGTGACCATGCCCTCATTGGTGACGGGGTCTGTGCGGACGCTGAAGTGCCCTGAGGGGTCCCCACTGATGATTCGATAGACTGCATTCCAGTTGGGTGAGTGGGGCTGATCTCGGTCCATTACGGTGAGGTTGGCTACCACCATCTCCACACGATTTTCTGGGACCTCCCCTGCAAACTGCAAAATGTAAGAAAGGAGATTAGGACTCCACGTGCAGCCTGGGGAGCCAGATTCCCGGCTGACAACCAGAGGTACCTGGAGCAGATGTCCTGGGTGAATGGGCCTAACTGGTATTCACTGTGATGGCAGCTGGGCCTCAAGACAGTGCTGGGGTTCCTCAAACTGAGGTCCAGCAACGTCTGAGGCTCCCATCTGCACGAATCCACGCAGAGGAAGAGACTCCCTTTTTGGGCAAGCTCTCACACATGCGCACACGCCAGACTGCCCTCCTACACTCAAGCTTTTTTCACTGGCACACGTGATGGGAGGGTGTGTGCTTGCAGGGTGGGGAAGCAGCCAGCTCAGAGCGGCAGTTGTAACAGGTTTCCAAGGACAGTCGTCTCCCAGCTCCTGCCGCCCTCTGGCTGTTGCTCTAGGTGGCTTGGGGGGCAGTCATACGGACAAGATCAAACAGAGATGCGAACCTCTGTACTGCCAAAGGAAGCGAGGTTGCATTGCGCACCTTCACAGGCCCCAGGAGCTCACGTGAGAGGTAGTGTGGAGAGGCAGTGTGCGCCGTGCCGGTGTGCAGGCCTGTCTGCTTTAGGAATCCAAGTGCCCCCCTGTCGGCTGTGACCTGCGGGTGGGGCTGGCTTCCAGGCTCTGTGCTCAACGGCCCTAATCTCACCTCAGTATAATGTCTGCTGTCTTGAAATTCACCTTGTTAACAAGATAAATAACTGCCTTATCGATTGAGACTTAGTTGGGAACCTGCTCTGTGTACCCTAAAGGATGTCACTTAGGTCCCCCCAGGGCTCTCCAGAACTTTCCTTTTCCTGCCTTTCTTTGGAACAGCGGAAGGCGAGGCTGCGATTGAGACTTAGTTGGGAACCTGCTCTGTGTACCCTAAAGGATGTCACTTCGGTCCCCCCAGGGCTCTCCAGAACTTTCTTTTCCTGCCTTTCTTTTGAACAGCGGAAGGCGAGGCTTCTAAGCAGAGACCCCCTTTGGTTTTCAGGTGGTTTTCAGCTTTGCTGTCCTGGAGCAACAAGGCCCCAGGCTGCAAGAGGAAGCACTAGACCGGGGTTCCTAGGGAAACAAGTGAACGCAGAGGCCTCCAGAGAGTTCTTGGCGATGACGTCAGTTTTAAACCTGCAGCTTCTTTGCCATCCAGCACTGAGGCACCCTTGATGGGGACAGCAGACCCGAGCCACGGCACAGTGTCCTGCGTCCGGCTTCCTTGCTGGGCTTCCAGGTGCCTCTGGATGGCTGTGCAAAGCTGCCATGGATGGTACGAGTCCCTCCTCCCACCACTGACATTCCAAACCAGCAATGGGGCTGCGCAGTGTGTTTTGAGTGTTCCTACACCTTGGTATGGGTGGTGCCCCTGGGAAATCACAGGGTCCTGAGGGGCATTGCTGTGGGCTGAATCATGTCACACAAATTTACGTGCTGAGCCCTGAGCCCCTGCACCTCAGCCTGTGACTGTGTCGAGACAGGGGTGACTGTCAGCATGAGGCTGGGGTGTGTGTGTTTTAACTCAGTCTGTGAAGCACCCTCATGTGAAGACCAGTCCTGGGTGGTACATGCAAGGGGGTAGTAGATATTTTTCTTGCTGCTGTGGCTGAATGCCTAACAAAGGCAACTTAAGGAGTTAAAGGTTTATTTAGGCTCAGTTTGAAGGACTGTCCATCAGGCTGTGGATGGTGCTGCACACATTCAGGGGTGGTCTTTTCAGCTTAGTTAAACCTCTCTGGAAACTCCCTTATAGACACACCTAGAGGTGTGTCTCCTAGGTGATTCCAAATCTAGTCAAGCTGATGATCAGGACTTTTAGGCTTCTATAGGAGGAGGAATTCTCTTCTGGTCCCTATTTCCAGGGTCCATGTAGTGGATGTCTGTGAGGCCTCCCAGATCTGTAGTAACATCTAAATTCTCTTATATACTTTCCAGTCAGGCTTTCCTAGCCTCCTCTATAGCCACAACACGATCAGGTGGCCCAGGCCTGGCAACAGGATGCACTGGCAAGGCTAATTTGGAGAAATGAGAGACCTCACATTCTGGCACCAGCAGTTGGGCTCCATGCCGGGTAATGGGGGTAGGAGCCACCCCAGGACTGTCTCTATGCTTGAGGCATGTGGCTCTCACGCCCTTCACTGGCCTCCCTCGCTTAGTAACTAGTGGATTCAGGTGTACTGGGAGCTTCAGGGAGGGCCCAGCTTGAGGCCTCAGTCCTGCTCCTGATTGGGGCTCCTGCTGGGCTAGTTTCTCCTGACTTCTGGGTGTAGTTTATCTGACAGCTGGTTTGAATTCATACAGGTGTAATAACAGTTTGTAAAACAAGGTCTTACCTGGGAAACTTGGCTGAGGCTTTTCTTATTCTTACTCATCTTCCCTAAGCCTTAATGACTTTTTAATTTAGCCTTTGAGGTGTCTTAGTGCAGGGAGAGTCTTTGGTACCTCTGGCATGCCAAGGTGGGTATTTGGGAAGAAGGACTAAGATTATTGGAATCAGTCTTACCTAGACCACAGTCCGGGATTCCAGTGCATGCCTCTCCCAGTGCTGATGGGTCTCAGCTTTAGCAGCCAAAGAAATGGGAACCCAGAGAGGCTGAGGGATTCGTCCACAGAGCCAGAAAGGCATAGAGCGGGCTCGAGTCCACTCCAGGGCCCCACAGGGTGTAGCTGAGATTCAGGGTCTTGGGAATGGTACCGTTTGGGTCCACAGAAGGGAGGGCTTGCCCATGGCCACCCAGTGAGTGCTGCAGACCTGCGAGGACCCAGGACCCCTGACACCCTAACTGTGATGCCCTCATGCAACACTGCATTACAGCAGCTGGCAAAGAAGGCTCACAGAGGCAGTGTGGTGATGCGGAGGGTGCGTGTAGGCACTGTTTTGGGGCTCCCTGAGGTGGCACTCTCTCTGCTGACTGGCTGTGTGGCTCTGGGCAGTCCTGTGGCCCCTCTGGGCTGGCTGCCAGGGGCTGGAGATTTCCTAATATTCACTTGGGCTGAGCTTGCCAAGCTACCCATTGGATCAGCAGCCATGACAGGATTTAAACCCTGTCTCCCTCCCACTTACTCCCCAGTCTCAGTTTCTATATAAAAAGGCGGGAGCCCAGAGCCTGGCCAGAGGTCAAATAACCACCCGAGGTCATACAGGTGAACAAAGGGCTGTCCTTCCTACACCTCTGCTCCCTGTTTGCTGCAGAGCAGGGCCCCCTGAGGTGACACTCTCTCCGCTGTCCTGGCTGTGTGGCTCCGGGCAATCCTGTGACTCCTATGGGCCTGCCCGAGTCTGGTCCACAGTGCTAGAAGCTGGGTACCCCAATCTTTCCCATTACTGACTGAGCAGTCCCAGGTAAAACACTTCCCCCGTGCCTACGCTGACCCTTACTGTCCTCAGCTTTGTAGGGACTGGCTGGGAGATAGCATGGCCACCACAGGAGAGGACACCCCAGGGTCCCCTATCCTCCAGGCAGGCACGGTGGTCAGCTCTTGCTGTGGGTAGGGACACGAGGGCCGAACATGTCAGTTGCCTGAGCTCAGGAGGCTCCTCAGCTTCTCAGGTGAGCTACCGGGAGAGGAGAGCGCTAGGCCAGCTGGAGCTCATCTCTGCCCCTCCCATTTTAGGTTTAGCTGCCTTTGAGCTCCATTTTAGTGTCCCCTGTGGGCTGGTGTTGTGCCTAGGGAATTAGGTCCTGATTGCAATTCTGCCTTGCTACAGAGCAGGGATCAGAGAGGAACTGGGGTTGGCCCCCATGGTCCCCAACCACTGTCTATTATCCACTGACATGGCCAGCCAGTCCTAATGGGGGCCTGGGCTCCTGGCTAATCCTCAGTAGCTCTTTCAAGGCCCTTAGGAGCTGTGCCTCAGGCCTAGAGTGAAGAGGGTGACTAATATGTGTGGGGAGCTCAGGGAACCCCCGCTTTAGTTAGCATAGCTAGAGCTGGCCAGGTGTACTATCTAGTCCTCTGTGGCCTACACCCTGCTGGCCTCAGCTACCAGCTTTCCTTTGACCTTGGTGTCTGTTGGCAAATGCCAATGTCATGCTACTTCTAATTTTTAAAAAGATATTTTTTTATTATTTTTAAATCATGTGTATATGTGTGTGGGTTTGTGCAGGTGCATTGAGTGCTGGGCTTTCTGACCATGTCAGCCATGGACATGTGTACTGGGAATCGAATTCTGGTCCTTTGTAAGAGCAGTATGCAGTCTGAATCACTGAGCCATCTCTCCAGCCCCACTTCTAACTTTCAGAAACTTAGTTTTCTGTCAGTAAAACAAAGGTGTCATCATGCCCCCTTTAATTCCAGCACTCAGGGGGCAGAGGCAGGCAGGATTTCTGTGGGTTCAACCCTGTCTACATAGTGAGTTCCAGGCCTGTCAGGGCCACAAGGTGAGACCTTGCCGCAAAAAAGTCAAAACAAATACAACCAACCACCCACCAAAACCCAAAAACGAACAAGCCAAAAAAACCACCACCACCACCACCACCACCACCACCAGCAACAAATCCAGAAAGGCAATTTCTGTTTGGCTCTTTTCAGAACTCAGAATCCTAGGATCTGGGCTTTGTGACTCAACACCAATATTGCTGTTTCATTACTGAGTGAGTAATGAGCCAGGAGGTTCCCAGCCTCTGCCAGTGCAAACAGATGAGGAAACAGACACAGCAGTTGGGCAGCAGGGGTGGCTGGGAAGCCTGGCTTTGCTTCTTTCCCCAACTCCTGTCCTCACCCCCTCACACTGCTTGACTGGGCAGGGGCTCAGGTGTTGGGAGCTATTGATATAAGCACGCCATTATGTACATTGAGCTGTGGCAGGCTTGCTTGATTACTTAGAGTTTGTGTTTTTCACACCAGTACCTAATCTGCCAAGTCAGGAGGAATGTGTTTATATGGTGGAGTTCACAACAAGTATTTGACCACTCCTTGACCCTCAGATACAGGTGGAAAAACAGCTGTTGAAACTAATTGAGCTAAGCAAATGGTGGCTATCTCTGATGTTCTTCTGT